CTTTTATGCTGAAACAAGTGAGTGTTCTATTTTTTGCAATGAAATTATTTGGTAAGCTCGCAGATCATGTGGCTGGAAGTGAGCCCCCCCCACACCCCGTTTTAGAAGGGCTTGAAAACTATCGGCAAGCACCGACTGAGTGGTGGTTTGTGTTCTTGCAGCTCGAGGAAGCCCCCAAAGGGGCTGGGGAGGCAGACGAGGAGCCCGGATCTTGGGAAGAGACATTCAAGACCCACACGGACAGCAAGCCCAATGGTAAGAGCCCCGTCATGTGACTTTGGAGAAGGAACACATGCCTTCACAAAGGGACTCGTCTTGGGTGTTTTCCTGCAGCTCTTGGAAGGGAGGGGGCGGTGATTCTTTTAAATCTGATAGGTTTGAGACAGAAAAACTAATAATTAGACCTCAAGATCTGTACCGTTTTCTTTTTCACACTTTTTGGGGAATGGGGTTTTAAGCATTTGGACTAGAATATTATATTAGAATCAGAAGGGTTTACGGAACAAACTCCTTGTAAAATCATCAGCACAATCGTTGAGAGACCTTGTGCTCTTTTTCGATGGCCTTCTGTCACTTTGTTTGTTCCTTATTGATAGAAAGAAACTTGTGTTCCTTGGATGACCGGTAGCTACAGTGGGGAAAAAAGGATCGTGTCTGTCTGTGTCAAACCAGACACTACACAAACCCCATGCATTGGCATTTTAAGTTTGAACATTTTCCATGTTGCCTGTCCTTTTCTTGCTCTTTTCTTCTATCTTTTTCTCTCCATCTATAGGCCCGACGTCGGTGGGACTGGATTTCTCATTCCCGGGCGTGGAGAATGTATACGGGATTCCAGAACATGCAGAGAATCTCCGGCTACGAACCACCGAGTAAGCCAGAAAATGGAGAGAGGGTTTCCCTCGTCATGGGGGTTTTTTTCCTGATGAATTTTGTCCTGTTGAAGTTCAAAGGGCTGTGCACGTAAAGCTGATGGCGAGTTTAGGTTACCTGTCTTGCCGCCTTTCAGGTTTGGCTTTAGGCCTCTTCTTAGATTGTATTTTGAGTATTTTTGTTTTGTTTTGTAGCTAACGATTTATTTATTTATTTATTGCATTTATATACCACCCATCTAGACATAGTCTACTCTAGGCGGCTATAAAAACGATCTGCTTTTATAGAAGGGGTAGGCGCGTTAGTCTGTGTGAGCTTTATAAGTAAAAAAGCAAGATAGAAATTTTAAAAAGTCAAAAATGTGGTGGTGCCTTAAAGACTTAACTTATATTTTTTAATCTGAGCTTTTATGGACAAGTCCATTTCATCAAACCTAAGATCTGTTTTTATTATATAATATTGTTTGTATTTTCCTTTGTAAACCACCTGGAGCAATGCCCCTCACAAACTGAGTGGTATACAAGCGAGCGAGCGAGCGAATGAATGGATGAATGAGTGAGTGAATGAATGAATGAATGAATGAATGAATGAATGAATGAATGAATGAATGAATGAATGAATGAATGAATGAATGAATGAATGAATGAGGAAGTGAGTGAGCCACTAATATGGGGAAGGAAATCTGTCCTTGGTATTCTTTCTGTGTTTTTCTCGACCGTTTCTAACGGCCAGTCTTTGGCAGGGGAGGCGACCCGTACCGCCTGTACAACCTGGACGTCTTCCAATATGAGCTTTACAACCCCATGGCCCTCTACGGTTCTGTCCCTGTCCTCCTGGCTCACAACGCCCACCGTACCCTGGGCATCTTCTGGCTGAACGCCGCCGAGACATGGGTGGACATCACCTCCAACACGGCTGGGAAGGTATCGTGACGTCGAAAGGCGTAGACATCAAATCCTTTTCCCTCTGAGAGAGCACAGGTCCAGCCCGGGGTGTTTCAAAGCTAGCCTGATCGCCTGGGGCGAGCGGGAATACTATGCAAGTGAGGAAGCGAGTCGAAAAAGGTCAGGTCAGGGCACTCCTCCTTGGCCAGCCCATGAAGGGTCTGTGCTCATGGCAGGGGAAGGAGAGCATCTCTTTTTTTCACAGCCAGCATAGAAGAAAATTCTCAAGATGTCTCTAAAACGACCAGAAGAAAACATTACAGATTATTATAATAATCTTTACAAACCCTAAAGATAATCAACTCTGGCCCCTGTCAAGGAGGCCCACTGGGGAATCGAACTCCCAACCTCTGCATCCAGAGGCCTACATTGCAGACGTATCCAGCAGTTTATATATTTTGTATAAAACATTAGCTATTATACTAAGTGAAGTGCTTTATGCCCACCTGTTGCATTATTTCTGAGACGTAATGTCATTGCATCTCTACTACATCCGTGCCCCCAGCAACTTGTGTCGGATAACTGAGTTACCCTGTTTTCCTGAAAATAAGACCTAACTTGAAAATAAGCCCTAGTATGATTTTTCAGGGTGCTCGTCATACCCCAGAAATAAGCCCCAGTTAAGTGAAACCCCACCTTCCACCTTTGTGCAGCAACCAGAAGATGACATGAGTGTATTTGAATAAATGTAGATTTTTGTACATGAAAAAAAAAATTACTTGAAAATAAGCCCTAATGCATTTTTGGAGGAAAAATTAATATAAGACCCTGTCTTATTTTTGGGGAAACACGGGTACTTGCAATGTGCGGCCTGTGGGTTCTCACTCTTCCCTCTGGATCAGCTACATGCCACATCCTTGTTAACTTCTTTCGCAGACCCTGTTTGGAAAAATGCTGGACTACATGCAAGGGGGAGGTGAGACTCCGCAGACGGACGTCCGCTGGATGTCAGAGAGCGGGATCATCGATGTGTTCCTATTGCTAGGACCATCGCCCAACGACATCTTCAGACAATACGCTTCTCTCACCGGTAAGGGAAAGGGAAAGGGCGGATCAGAGGGGCTTGGCTTTAATTTGCTTCTGGAAGGAACTTGAGACCGTCTCCGAACAATGGGGAATACAATCCTGACCCCTGCCAAGCATCCCATGCAGACGGATGATCACGGACGGTCTTCCTTTCAGGTACCCAGGCCCTGCCTCCGCTCTTCGCCTTGGCCTATCACCAGAGCCGCTGGAACTACAACGACGAAGAGGACGTGAACGCCGTCGACAACGGCTTTGACGAGCACGATATCCCGTACGATGTGATCTGGCTGGACATCGAACACGCCGACGGCAAGCGCTACTTCACCTGGGACCCCAACAAGTTCCCCCACCCCCAGGAAATGCTTCGGCGGCTGGCCGCCAAAAGACGTAAGGTAGAATCCTGAGACTCGTGGCCCTGATCCCCCTACTTAAGCAGGCTCTGATCCGCCTGTTCATCGTTGGCTCGTGCCAGCTGCAGGGTTAGGATGATGGCCGGTTAAGGCTTTAGTTTCCCCAGGCTTTGTTTCTGTATAGATATGAGCAATCCCTATAGAGAAAAAAAATAGATTTAAACTGATTTGCCAGAATCGGAATAATTCAGAGAGGAGGGTCCCCCAAATGAATTCATTGCTAAAAGAAAAAAGGAACTGGGGGGCGGGAAGCAAACAATGTTAGCAGATAGAACAGCAGTTAAGCCAGTGTTTCCCAACCTTGGGCAACCCAGGTGTTCCTGGACTGCGATTCCCAGAAGCCTTTTCACCACTGGCTGTGCTGGCCAGGGTTTCTGGGAGTTGCAGTCCTGGAACATCTGGGGTGACCCAAGGTTGGGAAACGGCTGCCCGAGAGGACCTCACAGGCTTTTGAGTCTTTTAAGAGCTAAGCGGAGCTGTTGAGGATGGGACCTTTTTTGGGGTGGGGGTCGCTCCTTCATAGGGTCACCCTACAAGTGGCTTGATGACACAGGACTGCAACCTATAGGTCGAGATGGGGCAGGAGGAGAGGCCGAGGAAGCCACTGGAAGGCTCCTCGTGCCCTTCTTATAAGCTTTTCTTCAGGGGTTGGAAGGAACGATTGGTTAGAGCAAGATAGAGTGACAGTCACCCCAAAACTCCAACATATTTAGTCTTTCTTAAAGCATAGAGCTATGGCTGAGCCCCCACTCACACACATCATGGGCCCTTTTTGTGTGCTCACCCCGCTCTATTTTATCTCTGTCTCCTTAACCCAGATGGTGAGCATTGTGGACCCGCATATCAAGATAGACAGTGGCTACCGGGTCCATAACGAGATTCGGTCCCAGAACTTTTACGTCAAGACCAAGGATGGCAGCGACTACGAGGGCTGGGCCCCCACTCACACACATCATGGGCCCTTTTTGTGTGCTCACCCCGCTCTATTTATCTCTCCTTAACCCAGATGGTGAGCATTGTGGACCCGCATATCAAGATAGACAGTGGCTACCGGACATCAACCTCTGGGGGCCGTTAAAGCAGTGTTCCCCAACCTTGGGCCTCCAGATGTTCTTGGACTTCAGCTCCGAGAAATCCTGACCAGCACAGTTGATAGTGAAGGCTTCTGGGAGTTGTAGTGCAAGAACATCTGGAGGCCCAAGGTTGGGGACCACTGCTTTAGAGGACAAAAAAGGGCCGGTGTGATTTCCGTTCGGAATAAAGATACCAATGTGAGCTCTTCTCTCTTTTCCCGGCCAGGTTCCGCAGGCTATCCAGACTTCACAAACCCAGCGATGCGGGCCTGGTGGTCCAGCATGTGCAACTACGACCAGTACGAGGTAGGGGGTGAGGGGGTATTTCTGTCTTCTCTCTCTCTCTCTCTCTCTCACACACACACACACACACACACACACACCCCTCTGGATGCCCGCCTGCAGGCACATATGCATGGTCCATGCACGGGCGCCCGCATGTGTGATGCCCTCCACACGCATACACACATGCACACACACACACACACACACACACATGCATGATCCTGCACAGATGCCCACCCACATGCACGCATGTGCTCACCCCCACCTGCATCCCTGCATGCATCCCCTGCACCCCCACTCACGGACACATTCCCCACGTGCACATGACAAAAAGGCAATGTGGGCCATAGTTTGAGGACTCCTGCTTTAAGCCTTTAAGCTAACCAGATGCTTTAGATGCTGCTTTCCCATAGCAAGAGCCCCCCCCCCGTGGATGCCAGAAACAGCGGATAAGCGAAGACCTTCCTTCCAGTGTCTTTGGTGTCAGTGTGTGGCGGAGAGAGGGAGTGCTGGCCCCAGTCTTGTCCACAGGCTGGACATTCTGCCCTCTTGTTTTACAAGGGAGGCTTGCCTGAAACCAGCGACTGCCTCGCCACCCCCTGTCCCTGGTTCCCTCTAGTGGCCAGTCCTGGTAATACACTTTGGAAATGTGTATTTCTGCATTTTAATTATTTTAATTTTTTTTCTCCATGCAGCAGATCTGTGAATTCTGTGGATACGGTGCTCCTCCTCCTGTAATTAAATAATGAATACTCCCATTCTATGGCTCTCTGACTTTTCTTTAGGGGTCCATGGAGAATCTCTACACCTGGAACGACATGAACGAGCCCTCCGTCTTCAATGGCCCCGAGGTGACGATGCACAAGGACGCCCTGCACTATGGGGGATGGGAACACCGTGACATTCACAACCTCTACGCTTTCTACGTGGTGAGTGCTGTTTTCCTCTGGATTGAGAAAGGCCGAGATCCGTGATGCGAGGGAGACCTTTGCATCCCCAGTGAATGGCTTCGCTATAGTCTTGCCCATCTCTCCTTGCAGGGAGTTCCGCTGAAGTATGCCAAGGATAGCCATTTGGTAGATCAGGATCTGCTGGTAGATCACTGATTGTTTGTAGTAGATCTCTAGGGATCTCTCCAGTTGTCTTAAAATGGCAAGAACAGAAAGGTTTACAAAAGAATTTGAGGGTTTCTGGTTTCCTTTAGTGGCCAGTTGTTATAAATACACCCCAGAAATACTTATACATATTTTTTGGGGGGTGTTATATTAATTTCAGGCACCAGATAATTGAATCAGCAGATCCTGATCCTGCAGATAAGAGGATCGCATAGTATTAGGTTTTTTTATTACATTCCGCTATCCGTTTGTCGAATAGTTTTTTCATTTGCTGATGGGCCTCAAACGGATTACTTCACGCAGAGGCCAAAGTCAAGAAACCATAAAAGGGCCGTAGTGGAAATTCAGTACCATTTGGTCAGAAATGCTGTCGGTGGTTTGCCGTCTTGTGATGGTTCTTCCTTCCTTCGTTTATCCTCCGAACAAATCACTGAGATCAAGTCAGATTGAGGATCCAAGACTAGTGGAAAGTGAGGTAGTAAGTCTTGCAGCTGAGTGGGAATTTGAACCCAAGTTCCCTTGTTCTAACCACTGTGACGCACAGCCCAGGAAAGCTGAACCACTTAGAGCCTCTTGGAAGCCCTGTTTGAGAGTCAGATGCAATCAAATGGTTAGCTTTTTTTTTAATTGAAAATGTGGCAAATATAATGCAATTCCTTACCTCAATGCTTCTGAATGATTGTTAATGTTTATTATTTCATGACTCAATGCTGCCAGTCACAGGAGGAAGCAAAGATACGCAGGCTTCTCTGTGGCATCTCATCCTTGTGCATGCGAATTATATTTGCCATAATGAGGACCGGAAACTTGTCTTTAAAAATATATATGTCCAGGAATCCAGATCTTGCACGCTTCTTCTGCCCTTGCTCTGTGTCCCTTTGTATATAATGCACATGTGTCGTCTTCTGAGGTTTGGGGGAAGAAGCATAAGAGCGGGTGAGGTCCAAGATGCAAGGTTGTGGGACACAGGTGTGTGTGTGTGTGTGTGTGTGTGTGTGTGAGTGAGTGAGAGAGAGAGAGAGAGAGAGAGAGAGAGAGAGAGATCTTCCATAGAACTGTACCCATAACAGACATCTTATTTTCTCTCCTTCTCTCCTGGCAGCAAATGGCAACAGCCCAAGGCCAGGTGCAACGGTCTGGAGGCATCGAGCGTCCATTTGTATTGACGCGAGGCTTCTTTGCAGGGTCACAGCGTTACGGTTAGTGGTTTGCATCTGTGTGTGTGAGAGAGAGAAAGAGAGAGAAAGGAGAGGGTCCAGTGAAGTTGCTCATATCACAGCTTCAGTACCCGGACCGTCCAGCTGCACCTAAGAAAAAGACCCCCTCCTTCAAAAGCCTGACCGGTCCGTTGCTCCCGGTCAAAGCTAAGAACTCTGAGCGAGGTGAACCCACGATCTGACTTGGTAGAAAGCAGAGGGACGTTGGCCAGTCTTGGGGGGTCTGGGTTTGAGTCTTTGGTGTACAGATCCTGAGTCCCAAGCCCCCAGTTTGAGTCGCTATTAAAAACAAGCTTTTTCTCTCCAGAGAAAAAAGAAGAGGAGTTGGTGGGTTCCAAGTCATGAGTTCAAATCACGGGGGTGGGGGGAAACGAGTAGAGTCGCTGGTGTGACTTAAGTCTGAGTTGATAGCGAATCTCACGACTCGAGTCCCCAGTCCTGGCATAAACGCAACTTCCTGTGTGATGTTTCTGTTTCTGCCAGCCCTTTATTCAGAAACCATGAGGACTGGAATCTTGCTTCCATCTTTAGCAGTCAAATTGCCTTGGCTAACCCCAGCTATAATTCAGAGTCCCCGGGAGGCCCAAAGGTGTCCTCACCTCCCTTCCCGAAAGAACAAGCTTCCCGTTTAAAAAATCGGTCATCCTATTTTGATTAAGGAGCAGGCAAACCGCCATGAGCCAGAGGAAAACAAGGAAGTGAAATGACAGTCGGTACACATCGTTTATTTATGATTTCCACCCTTCTTCTCCTCCTCCTCCTCTCCAGGGGCTGTGTGGACAGGGGACAACGCAGCGGAGTGGGAGCATTTAAAAATCTCCATCCCCATGTGTCTGAGTTTGGGTCTGGTGGGCATCTCATTCTGCGGTGGTAAGTCACGTGAGCTTCTGACAGCGAGCGCCAGAAAAAGTTTCGACTTGTGGTCTTTCAATGATACCTCCAAGGTTAAAGTTGTTGTCTGGCATTAATCAATGAATGAACTACTCTTGTATATCATGCCAGTTAGTGCTGGGCGCCGCTCTGGGCAATTTATATCCCAAATAACATAGGCATAAGATAAACCGCCAAGATGGTCAATCTCATAGGAAATGAAGAGGGGGAGGCTCTTAAAGGCTTCGGGAAACAGCCCTGTTTTGAGCATCCTCTCAAAGTTGTACGAGTGCTTTTGATGGTTGAAAGCAATTTCCATCTCTCGTTTTTCAGCGGTAAAGTAGGTTGGATATTATTGTGCCCGTATTGCCCATGGAAATGCCCAGCTTTAAAAGGGCGTGGTCTGAGGCTGGCACAGAGGTGAGAGTTGAACTAGGGCAGTGGCTCAGAAAGGGCTGTGCGTGCCAGTGGTGGCATGTGTGCCATAGTTTCGCCATCGCTGAACTAGGGTCTTCCTGATGAGTAGTTTATCTTCTGCGATAAACTACCCGTTTTCTTTCTCCCTCCCTATTGTTAAATCCATCTTTCCTCGGTGGGATCCGGCAGAGGGGCTCACCTGGGGCTAAGAAAACTGGGTAAAGAAGCCGTCTAGGAGAGAGAAACTTGTTTAACTAGAACCACCGAGGTTGAGTAGAGCTTTCCCATTCGAGACAGTCGTTCAGCGGCATAGTGGTTAAGCTGCAGTCCTGCAGTCAAGACTCTGCTTGGATTTAGGTCACTGTCTCAAAGTTGACTTAGCCTTCCACCCTTCCCAGGTTGGCCAGTTGAGTCCCCAGCTTGCTGGCAGGGGGACCAACATATAGCCTGCATAATGAGATGGTCAACCGCCCAGAGAATGCTTCAAGTGCTATGGGGTGGGATATTAGCAGCCGTGTGTTGCTTTCCTTTGTTATTCGGAGATAGACTAACTCCAGAGGCAGCCTCTTGGCTTCATGCCCTGCTTATCAGTTACAGTGAGGCGTTTCTTTTGGCTGCACTGCTTGTCC